CTTTAAACTCATATTAATATGTGGGCGTCTGAGGCCTTCAGTATTTCCTCTGATGCCTACCCAAGTAGTTCTCTCAGTAAATCATGAGACAGTTTTTAGCATTGCTGTTGTTCTTCCCAAGTCATGGATTCTGCCCTCCATAGTAATTGCTTTTCTAGCTTTTATTCTAGCTGTTTTCTCCCTACCTTTTCATATTTAGCTAAAACTGCACTGATGGTTCTTACCTGAAATTAAAGGGATGGGATAAAGAATTTGTAAGTCTCCCATCAACCCCCAAGAATCAGATGGACCCAAACCTAGTATTATCTGTCAGTTCATACTTTCTCCCAGCTGGCTTTGCAGTTTTCACACAGTAACATTTAGTTTTAATTTCTATTTATTTCCTCTCTTGTGGTCTGATGGAGAAGAAATAGGGCAATGGCCACAGAGAACTCGACAAGGAGAGAGAAGGGATGAGTGTGGATCAACACCCCTGTTCTGGCCTCATCATCCACTCAGACTCTCCAATTCTCTGGCAGTGGGCTGTTCTCTGTATGATTTGGAGGTTTGCATCTCTAAAAGCCTCCTGTATTGCTGAGTTAACTGCATATCCCTTCTGGCTTCCTACCTAGAGGGTTGTTGGAAGGGTTAGATGAGGTGACGTTTAGTGCCAGGTATAGTGTTTACTGTACATACAGCGGCAAATGCTAGCTTGTTGTTGGAGGCAGGAGACTGGACTCTTCTTAGGGACTGTGGCTGTGTCAGAGTTGGAGCTTTTTAGAAGCTACTTTTGCAGGTTCTTCTCATGATCTCTGACGCAGAAAATCAGTGCTGCCGTGGGATTTCCAAGCACTGTTTCATTTTGTTTTCTCAGTCAGTAACTTGAGTTAATGAGTTTTGCACTCTGAAGAAATTCTTAAACTGCAAATAATCTATATGTAGTAAACAAAAGGAAGCTTTATATGTCATTCTCCAAGTGTCGGAAGGAGACATTCACTGGTAGCTCTTATACTCAGCATCATTAGGTGACATTCTGTGAGCGTATCCTTGGTGCTGACGCTACACCGAGCACTTACTTCCCAGACTACATCTGTTGACCCTTCACAAAGACACCGAACAGACGCCATGTTATACACCAGAGAGGCAGAGTGATACCTTGCCCCAGTGACACATTAATAAGGGGCCAAGTCATGTATGAGCCCCTTGCTCCTAACACTTAGCATCCTACCTCTTAAGCTAAACTGTAGGTGTTTCTTTTGTACCATTACTGTGTCAACAGCTACAAACAGGTGCATGAAACCGTTGGTCATGCTGCATGTTTGGTGTAACTCCTTACCCTTCTGCATGAGCTCCCCAGTCTACTCAGTGGCCTTGGGTTTGTAATTTGTAATGTCTGAATGGACAGGTGTGCAACTGCTTATATTCTCTTGGCCGAAGAAGAAGCCACAACTATTGCTGAAGCAGAAAAACTCTTTAAGCAGGCCCTGAAGGCTGGAGATGGTTGCTATCGACGTTCTCAGCAGCTACAGCACCATGGCTCCCAGTATGAAGCTCAACACAGTAAGGTTTCCTCCAGGGTGATGCACTGGGGAATCAGAATGGTAAAATGTTGGCAGGAACAAAGGTTCAGTCCAGAACAGAACTGGATTCTGTTAGACAAGGCACTTAGGGCACCGTTAACTTGGTTGTCATTGTGTTCACATTCTTATTTGTGCCCCCAGAATTCCATTGCCATAAACAAACATCAATCACCTTTTAAGCAGTGTTTTGGGATTATTATTACATCACCCCCCTTCTCTTTCCTTCCTTCCTTCAGATCCTCTCATGCAGCTCCCACCACAATAACTGTTAATGCTCATTTCTCCCCAGAATTCATACATAGTTCTTCTGCTTGGCAGCTGCTACTCCATCTCATAACTTTAAGTCCAACTTTTGTTGTTAGTATCATAAAATGTTTTCTTCTAAGTCTCACATTTCATGGGTAAAAACATGGTTGAAAAAGGAAATTTATAATATAACTTTTATTGGTTATAGTCTATCAACATTTAGTTATTTAAAAATCATTAGTGTTGTCTTTGAGGAAGAGCCATGAGTTCCTAATTATTAATATTTTATGAAAATAATACATTTTTAAAGGTAACTCCTTAAAGGCTGAGGCCCTTTACTTCAGTACCCAACCTGAGAACCCATGATGCTTTCTGGGAACAGTATAGAAGTAGGACAGAGTAATTACTGGAGTCCCGGAGCACCTGGGCTCATCTTGGTTGGTTATTTAAACAGAAATCCATAATCCTTTGGGAGAAAAGTGTTTTCCCGGTCTGACAAAAATGTGAGTTGTTTCCTTTAGGTAGAATTTCTCTCACTTCATCTCTCTCTCCTTTAGTTTGGAAAGTAGGGGTATATGTGTCCCTCATACTTGATATTATATAATTAAATTTTAATATTAAACTTGGATTTGGTATAGACCCTGACTGACGCAGTCTCTAGGTCTCAGGTGCCAGCAGTATCATTACATGATAGTCCGCACATGTGGGACATGTCCACACATGTCATCGACACACACGCTTGGTGTATTCTGCAGTGAGTAGATATAGCAATAAGGTCTCTGATCATTATAAAAATATAACAGTGCATTTTGAAGATGTGCAGTAAATGTCTATTTTGTGAACTAAATGGGAATTAATACATAAATTACACAACCTATAATATAACATAAAACATTTTCTTTCTTTTCTTCTCTAGATTAAATCCTTTCAACCTGTTGCCTAAATCTATCCAAAAATATAATCACATCTTTAAAATAATTTGTAGGTACTTGGCAGTTTTTCAGCACACATCTTGTTCTCATTGTTTAAAACTTGAAATGTTCAGACTTTGGTCTCAACATCTTTTAATAGCTGAGTATCTACATGTACTTAATCCGTAACAGGTGTGTCATATTTTTCTCAAACACGGTAATTTTATTGAGGATTAAGCATATGCATGTTCTCACTGGTCTGAAAACACATCCAAAATACATAATTAAATAAAAGATTAAGCTAAGAAGTCGCTAATATACTGTCTAAGGGCCGTTTTAGTGGCTGTTGTTATAACTGTGTAGCTTGTCAGTGCTTTCTCTGACACTAGGGTAGTTTTTCATTTTGTGCATGCTCTATTGTCATATCTGGAATGTGTTATATTGCCATCTAAAACCAACTGCTTTGGGGACCTGGAGATGGTTATGATGTCACTAGAGAAAGAGTAATATGAACCAGGAGTTCAAGATGAGGCTTCTCCAGAGTTAATGTCAGGAACGGGAAAAAATAGTTCATCAGGATGGAGCCCGAGATTCACCTCTGCATCTTTACCAAAAGCACACACACTTGTGGAACATGGCACTCCTGCTTGTGAACATCTTGCAGTGTCGGTGTGCTCATTTTCTTAGGCCTGTGTGACAGGGATTTTATTTATTATCAAATATTCAACTAACACAAAAGCACAGATTAGGTAAACAGTCATGATTTTGGCCTTTGGGCATCTAAATACTTTTGCTTTACTCTGTATTCATTCTGTTATTAGCAAATTTAGTTCTCTGTGCTCTTGGCAGTAGGAAAGGCCAAAAGAGCAAACTGTCTTCCTTGAGGGATCTATTTAAGGGTAAGCAAATGGGCTTCTGCATTTTTCTTGCTGGTTAACTTAAAGCTCTTGTTTTTTGCTGATTTTTTTTTAAAAATGTTGATGTTTTATCTCTCCTTTCTCAGGACGAGACACCAATGTCTTGGTCTATATCAAGAGAAGGCTGGCAATGTGTGCCCGGAGACTTGGGCGGACCAGAGAAGCCGTGAAAATGATGAGAGATGTGAGTTTACATTGATGCTTAGGCATGGCAGCAATGCTCCCGACAGAACAGACCTTGAACACAGAACCAGGAATAACACAGGAGTCTCATGGATGGCAAAACCAGGTCCCAACTGACAGGGCGAACAACCCGGGGCATTTTAATTCATTTCTGCTATCTGTTTTTCTTATCTGTAAGGTAACAAGGTTTTCACAATAACCTTGTATGAGTCCTGTAAGATTTAAATGAGATAATACACTCATTTACTATAGGGTGACTGGCATAATTTTAAGAATCTCAGTAGGTATCTTTTAGTCAACAGTTGAGACTGTTGGGGGAAACCAATAATGAGATTAGCCATTTTAGTTTGTTTATTTTTATATTTTTAAATCTTGTTTTAAGATATTTTAATGTCTAGTAATTTAATTATTTTTTATTATTTGAGGATTTCATATACACATATTGTGTGTGTTTGATTGAATTCATTCCCTTTTCCCTCTGCCATGGTTCCTTCTCTATCCACCCCCAATTTCATGAGACTTTGTGTCTACTCATTCCATGTTGGGGTTTTGTCTGGCTGGCTCTTGCACAGGTCTCGGGAATGACGCCACGATCTTTGTGAGCTCATACACCCTGCTTCCCAGTTGTGTGTGCAGCACACCACTTCACTGCGGTCATCTGCTCTGCTTGTGCTGAAGCCCATCTTCTGCAGGAGGCTCGGAGATTTACTCTTTCAGTGTGTCGTTACTAGGAAATGAATTATGGGTCAAACTGTTATATTTAAATTTAGTGCAATTTCAATAACTTTCCCTAGATTCTTGAGAACCAGGGTACTTTATTAGTTACAGTTTGCTGCAGTTAAGAGCACTGGCTGCTCTTCCAGAGGTCCTGAGTTCAATTCCCAGCCATATGGTGGCTCACAATCTGATGCCCTCTTCTGGTCAGCAGGCCTACATTCAAAGAGCCTGTTTACATTAAAAAAAAATAAAAAGACAAAAGGTGTTGCGATTTGGTTTATTGGCAGAGCACAACCAGAGCATGGAGGTTCCAGTCCATGTGCTAAAACTGTAATAAGAAAAAATAAAATTTAAGGAAGAACGAAGAAGAAAAGCAACATGTAGTGGTTTAAGGGACTTTGTCTCTATTTTTGGTTGTTGTCATTATTAGTAAAAATTGTTTTTCATAAAAAAGCTGACATCATGGCGGCCGTAGGGACTTGGGCGCGGCGTGGCGGTGACTGAGCTGCGAGCCTGGCGGGCGTGCGCCGAGCCACGTGCCTCCCACCCCGGGCTCTTCACCCTGATGCTGCACGGGTGCTGAGCCCGTCCGGGTCGGGACGATGGTGAAGTATTTCCTGGGCCAGAGCGTGCTCCGAAGTTCCTGGGACCAAGTGTTCGCTGCCTTCTGGCAACGGTACCCGAATCCCTATAGCAAACATGTCTTAACGGAAGACATAGTACACCGGGAGGTGACCCCTGACCAGAAGCTTCTGTCTCGGAGACTCCTGACCAAGACCAACAGGATGCCACGTTGGGCAGAGCGACTTTTTCCTGCCAACGTTGCTCACTCGGTGTACATCCTGGAGGACTCTATTGTGGACCCACAGAACCAGACCATGACCACCTTCACCTGGAACATCAACCACGCCCGGCTGATGGTGGTGGAGGAACGATGTGTTTGTGTTTACTGTGTGAACTCTGACAACAGCGGCTGGACCGAAATCCGTCGGGAAGCCTGGGTCTCCTCCAGCTTATTTGGTGTCTCTCGAGCTGTCCAGGAATTTGGCCTTGCCCGGTTCAAGAGCAATGTGACCAAGACGATGAAGGGCTTTGAGTACATCTTGGCCAAGCTACAAGGGGAGGCTCCTTCCAGAACACTCGTTGAGACAGCCAAAGAGGCCAAAGAAAAAGCAAAGGAGACGGCACTGGCAGCTACAGAGAAGGCCAAGGACCTGGCCAACAAGGCCGCCACCAAGCAGCAGCAGCAGCTCTTGTAGCTGCTCCCTTCTTCTCCCTTCTCTTCACTGTACTTGATTATTAAAGATGCGCCTCCAGCCCTCTCTGCTGTCTGGGTGGTGGGTTCGGGTGGTGTCCTGGTCCGCATCTGCAGTACACCCGGCTCAGCATCTACTGAGCCCAGCCTCCTTTTACACCACTGGGCAGAAAGGCGCAGTGACTTGCCCAGGGTCAGAAGCAGTACACAGGTGAAACGGCGACACACGCTAGACTGTGCGCTCCACGAGGGCAGGGCTCCATGTTTTATTCTCTGATGTGTCCCAAGTACCCTGAACAATATTTAGCACATAACAGGCACTCAATAAACACTTGAATTGATTGCCCCCCCCCAAAAAAAGCTGACATCAATTGTGAATTGTATCTATAATTTTCTTTTTAAAAAAAATCTCAAAAATCCCTTGTCAACATTTCATTCGTTCTTTTTCTTTAACCATCCCCCCCTCATTCTTCTACTGTATTCCTTAATTAGAATACATAACTAAGAACCTTTGTAAGAGCACAAACCTAGGAACTGGATGACAGTGGCGGCATCTTGCTCAGTTTTGAGCTCGCGGGCCGTGCATAGGGCTGCACATTCTTGGCTGGCCTCTGGACGGCTGCTGTTCCCACGAGTTCCAGGCTCTCTCTGGAGGAGGGCGCATGGGTGGACAGTCCCAGACTGGAGGACAGGGAGAGGGGAGGAGGATTATGAAGGAAATGTGTGTTCATCCATGATGAAATTCTTTTAACAGGAGGGAGAATTAAAAAAAAAAAAAGAAAAAAAAAACTATTTTATCACATAAGAGCTAATTTTAAGACTGGGAGATTTGTTTGGAGACATGAATTGTTCTTAAAGCTTTTCAGCTTGCAGAAATTCCATTCCCTGATACAGCAAAGAAACACTGCCAGTCACTCTGGCTGTGTGGAGTTGGGACCTTAACAAAGGATGACTGTTCCTTCCTCCATCTGAACCTGGTCTAGCCACATTCTGTCCTTATCTTCTTTCTTCCCTCCTCCTCCCCGCTCTCACTTTCCCTCCACTTCCTCTCCCTCCCTTTCCTCTTTCTCCTCGTCCTGGAGCAGACATAATACATAGGAATACATTTCATTGATCTCATTCTGTGCTTAAGCATTTCCATAGGAAAAGCAAGTTCTGGCTATTTTAATTTCATTTTTTCCTTGGTCTTTGCTGCTTATTTTCCATGTGCACATATAAAATTTCACATGCTTAAAATCAACATATCCATCCTGTATTTAGGGTGATTAGCTTTTAGTTTAACATTATTTTCTCTTTACAATTCTACTTACTGATCTAGCCCAAATATAGGTTTAAAGAGAAAGTCTGGGACACAGATAAACAGACGGTGGCAAGCAGTCAAGAAGCCTGGCTGTGGACTTGTCTCTGCCTTTTCTGTGGTGTGGACTAAAGGCAGCCCCTCACTTTCTGCTGGGGCTTGTCCCTTAGTCCTCCATGAATAGGGACTAATGCTTCCTAACACTAGGGAAACTGCTTGGTGAAGAGAATTCAGTTACATAATATAACACACTTGGCATGAAATATGAATGCTTATAGTTTTCTTCATATTTTCCATTACTTAAGTTATACATGTGATTTTCTTGCCAGTTTTCCTGAAGGACATCTTGAGATAATTCCAATTTCACTTTTAAGTTAAAATCTAAGTATTCATTTTTGAAAATTGCCATAATACTCTTCATATTTACTGGGTAGAGCATAACATTTTATGCCTTCACTATTTATTGATTAGATTAGGGGAGCTGGCAGTCCTTTACCTCAATCTACCTACATAGTACATGCATATTTATATGCACACAGATGGGTGTGACTTTTGTATTACAAAATGACATTTCATTCTTAAAATATCAACACCCATTGCCTTTTCTCTGAGTTTATGGAGTGCCCGACAATATAGGCCCTGCTGTAGTGACCATATTCCTATGAGGAACAGTGTTAGGCTTGGGAGAGGTGTGTTTTCAAGGGCACTGTTCCAAGTGTGGCTTCAGAAACTCCCTAAGTGCCCTCCATCCCACACAGAGGATGCAGCCAGGCCTTGTAGCACAGGGTTGTTGGCCAGGCCTGACTTGCCTCACTCACTCAGTTGTGTGTCATTCTTCTCCAAGGATTAACTCTTTTAATAGCAGAAACCATCTCGCTATGCAGTGTCCTCTGATAAGGCAGCATAGTAGGCTCCAGGCAGCCTACTGATAAAACATTGAGGCAGGAGGATCTATTTTCTCACTGAGATACAGCGATCTCTTCTCCATATGCATCAGTTTAAATTTTCCTTGAGCAGATTTCAAAGTGAAAATTGGAATGCCAGAGTTAGAACATCTTCTACACTGAAAGCAGAAACATTGGGAAAAGCTTTTCTGGAGAAACCACAAGGAAGGGCAAACCTGCTGCACTGTCATTGAAAGAACATAAAAGAGAATTCTGAGAAAGGGGCTGAAGAGAATATCTTTTATTTCTACAATTCAAGATTACACAACTGTTCAAATAAAATACCGAACTTCATCAGTGAAATACTGATGAAGTAAATGCACATTTTACTCTCGGTTGTCAAGATTAATAGAGTCTCTATTCTTAAAACAACCCATTAGCTATTGTGTACTCCAGGATTTTTGTTCATAAGAACACAAGCTCCTTTTCCATAGAGCTCTCTTACAACCAAGAGTACAGAGCTCCTTAGAGGAAAGGAGTGTTTCGGGAGTGAGAGAGCTAAGAGGCTCATTGGCTCTTGAACTTGGCTGCAATGTGTTGATATTCAGAACAGAGTTGCATTTTTCTGTCTTAATTTAAGGAAGAGTCATTGTGTTGGTTCTTATCTTTAATACTTGGTATATGACATGGCTTTTTCTTTTTCTTTTTTTTTTTTTTTCCTTTTAATATCTATTATGCTTGTCTCTCGCTGGTCCTATTTGAGTGTATTTGAAGTGGAATTCACAAGGCAGATATCTGTGGTCTGATTCCTTAGTCATGCTTGTCAAGCTGGGTATGAATAAACCATAGGCATGGGATAATCTGCCTCTCTGAAAGAATCTAACAGCTCTTGCCATCATCTGTTTAGAGCAGATTTTCCAAAGCTCAGCTCTGAACACTCTGGGCCATATAACCATTTGCTGGGGAGCCGTCCTGTGCATTGTAAGATGATGAAGACTGGCCTGTATATTGTAGTGACCTAAGTCCCATCAGTCTCCAGTTGTCTAAAGACATTCCTAAATGTACCTAGGCTGCAGTGGTGATAGTAGCAGTCAGGATCATTCCTCATGAGCGAGTACGAGACTAGAGAATCCAGGGCTGAGCAGACCTGTTTCCATACAGAATTTACATGTTTCACTTATAGCCTGAACTCTTTTTGGACACAAACCTCTAGAGTACCCCTAGACTTGCCCAGCTTTGGTTGGAGGGCTGTTTCGCCCCATGGAATTCCTTAAGGGGGTATCAAAGGCAAGAAGAATAACTTAAGTTGGAGGGTTTTGTGAGTTCCTAGTAGAGACTGATGTGGAATCACGGCCTTCATTGCTCCTTGTCCATGACTTCAGATCAGTGGTTTTTCTTTCCCCAAATCTGTACCCTCTCTAAAAGTTGACCTGCTTCACCTGCTCTCTGTAGTTTTCTTCACGTCTCTGAACCATTTTCTTCCATTGTTATTTTTCTGTCTCTGAAGTATTGCTTCCCTTTTCATGTCCTGACACAGATGTCCACTCTTTCTGAAACATTTTATACAATCGACTTAGAAAGCCATGCTATGTTAGTTTCTAGTCACTGTGACAGAATACACATGTGAGAGCATAAGGGAGGGAAAGTTATGCTGGCTCAGAGTGTCTAAGGTTTCAGTCCTCGGCAAACTGGTCCCATTGTTTCTGGGTTGTGGTTGAGGCGGTTGGTATAAGGATGTTTCTGAGCGTTCAACAATCATGAAGAAGAGGTGAATGGGTGAAGGCCAGGGACAAGACAGAATCTTACAAAGCATGTGATGCATGACCCACCTCCTCTACCTTCTACAACTTCCACCATTTCCCAATAGTTATCAATTATAAATTGATTCATGAATGTCTGAATCCACTGATTACACCAGAGCCCTCCTGGTCCATTCACTTTCCCAGTATTTCCACCTATGAATGTTGTGTTGACGTCTAAGCTTCAACATGCAACTTGAAGGGAGCATTTTATATCCAACCGGCAGCATTCTTCCCCTCAGTGGCCCACCAGATGCCAGCATTCAGTCTCAGATATTAGCCAACAATTCTGTATTGTTCACTGTGTTCTAGGAAAGGATATTTGGTTGATGTCATATCTAGTGAGTACTCCAGAAAGTATAGTCTTCAGATTGCCTGTATCAGAAGTGCCTAGGGTATACTCATGCTGATATCACAATTGTTAAATGGACTAATTAATCTAAAATTATTTGGTGCAGGCCATTGTGTGGAATAATAACTCATTATTGGCATGCTTACCATCATTTTAAAGCTGTGTTATCAAGAGAAGAGTAAAATGATGAGCGTTATGTATGATATAATTTGATTTTTTTCAATTAAAAATAGATGCTAATATGGACTAATAGCTCTCAAACTTGCTACTCTGAGAGTCCATTTAAAATTATTTCAAACCATGGAAGTTTTCTATGTATACGTTTATTTAATTATGTTTACCATTTTGGAAATTAAAACTGTAAAAATTTAAAAAGATTTATTCATTTCAAAATAGAATTGCAAATATATACTAGCAAATATTTTATGGCAAAATAATTGTATTTGTTTAGGTAAAACAATTACTGAAAAGGTGTCATTGTTTTAATGCTTGGTCAAGTCTCTTTAGTGTCTAGCTGAGAGGAGATAGCCAAAGTCTCCTGTCTGATTCTGTGTTTAGATTGTAGTCTCAACATGTGGCCTCTGGGAGGACTGCCAAATGTATATTGAAAATGTGAGACTAAGAAAAGAATGTATATTACTATAAAATAGTTTTTATATAAAGAATTCCTGAGTTCTTTAAGGATGTCATGAAGATCATTTATACAAACATTAGAAAATAACCTGGAAA